TGTGACGTCGCGATACCCTGGTCCAACCCCCGCCGGCGCCGAGCCCGTAACTCGAGAATCTTCCACCCTCGCAAAGAGGGTACCCAGAAGCCCCTTAAGAGCCTGGTGGTCTAGAGTCTCCGTAGGCGGGGGCGCCCACAGACGGAGTTTACCCACCGTCCGCTTGTAGGGGCGCCCCCACGGATCCTCATCCAGGGAGCTCACCAGTTGCTCCCAGGCTCTTCGCTTTGCCTCAGCGATAGCGGCTTTGAGGGCTTTCCTCGCAACGAGGTATGCCTCCCACGTCCTCGCGACATCCCCGCCTCGTCGCCGGGCCCGGGCATACACCCTTCTGGCTTGGATGAAGATTCGCGATTTCCTCCGTCCACCAGTAAGCGGCCCGGCGCCGGCGGAGGTAGGACCAGGGCATCGCGACGTCACACGCCGACGCCACGATGCCCACTAATTCCCTCCCTCCTGGGGGCTAGGTCCCACTCACCTGACCCTTCCTTCAGGTGCCAGGTGGCCACGAGGACGGCCGTCCGAAACCTGTCCGCATCTAGTCGACTTAGAGCCAGTGCTGTCAGGTGTAATATATTGCGACGCTACAGCGCATGCGTGAGATGATGTAGGAGCTCTATGCCAATGACGGCAATAAAGCGCATCGCAGGGTCCATGAAGGGGCCCGCGCTATCCGATCAGCTGTCTTTCAGGCTCCAGTGTAATTTTCCCATGCTTCTTGCGCGAGTGCCTTATCTTAGATTATATTGTTCAGTGGATACTAAATATCAGTTATATTACCATTATAATTCCAGTGGATACTAAGTAACAATTACGTTACATTGACATTATAATTTTTCACTCAACTATGTAACTGTTACATAATATTTGTATTAGACTCATATTAGACTATAAATTGAGAATTACTATCAGATCAATTAACATAACCACGATTTAGATTATCTAATTTACTCGATTGCAATTCTCAATGCATAGTATAATATGGGCGCTATAATACCTTAAAAAAGATACGATACTGAGACTTTCACTCAAACAGGGACCCCTACGTCATCTCACGCATGCGCTGCAGCGTCGCAATATATTGCACCTGACAGCACTGCTTAGAGCCCATCTGTTGGGGAGAGGGGAATCCCTCTTCCCTGGGCGGCGGTCCAGCACCCGCGTGGGGGTGGAGAGACGGAGGGCCCACACTATATATCGGTGATCCGACAGTGGGTGCATTCAGTACTACAACCGCTCACTGAGCGCTCAATGAGCTTTTACATTTGATTGGTATATTCTTTTAGATTTAAAAATATACACCAATCAGATGCAAGAGCTCACTTAGTGCTCAGTGAGCGGTTGTAGTACTGAATGCACCCAGTGTTTCGCCCTCCGCTTCCATCGCCCACTCCTGGAACATCCGAGCGGCCGAGGGGAAAGCTCAGGTCAAATCTATGACCGACTCCCCCCTCGGCCGCACGCAGGTGCTGGTTGACCCCCTGTTCATCAACAGGAGGTCTAATCCCGCCGCCCAGTTGACCACGGCCCTGCCCCTTCGGGGATTCCCCTGCCGGGGACCGCAACTCCACCCCTCAGAGTGAGCGTTGAAGTCCCCGGCAATTTTCTCTCTGGCACTACACGGACATTATTATTTTGATTTCATTGATATTCATTAAGAATTACCCAGAACGTAACTATCATGTTGAACGACTCAATTTGTATGAAATGTTTCGACTTTCACAAATTCATATAAAATTTTTCATTTTTCACTAATTCACAGAAGTCTCATAAGGGGAGGACGCATCGACCGGGAAACGGTTTGGAACGAAACTTACGGAGTTAATAGTACTTGACTACTAATAACTCATGGTAATAGCATACGACGCAATACCTCTTCGTTTTCGACAAAAAACGGTCTAAAGGAAAGAGCAAACAAAGTGTACCAGTTAGTAAGAAGTATTCAACGAAGCGGCGTAGCGCAGCAGCGAAGGTAACGGACTACCGAGGTAACGGCTGAGGTTCGATTCCTGCTATATGGTTTTTCTTTTTATTCTGTAACCATAAAAATGAAACAGAAAACATTAATAAATAATAAACTGCTAATAAAACTTTCTTAAATATATTAGTGTTTGTTAAATATATTATTAATGATTTAAATTGCAGAAAGACCGTAAATATTATCTATAAAATATATAGTGTATGAGAAAATTTTTATATAATAATTGCAATGGAAATAGGAATAAAAATATTGTTATGAAATATACAGGGTGTCCCATTTAACCTGATAAATCGTAATATCTGGAAAACTACATGTCGGATAAAAAAAAGTGGGTAATGAAATTTGTTCGTCTCGAAGGGGGACATCCAATGATATCAAACTCGACCTCCCACCCCACTCCCGGGGGATGAGGGTGGGGGGCAACTTTGAAATCTTAAATGGGGACCCCCATTTTTTATTACAGATTCGGATTCTACGCCACAAAATACGTAAGTTTCGTTCGAAACTTTTTTTTTATTCGTGATAGATGGCTCTGTAATCGCAAAAAATTAGATTTTCTGCAATTCTCCAGAAATGATCATTGGATTGAAAAATAAAAAAATACCTGTTCAATATTTTTAAAAATATTTTCAAAAAACATAATAACAGTTATTCCCCCCCATCCCCTCGGGGTGGGGTGGGTGGTAACGTTCAAATCTCAAATGAGGACACTCCTCGCTCTCAAATGAGTCCCCTCGCCTCTCACCTAAAACAAGCACCCCGATGGTGAAAGGCGAGGGTACTAACCTAAAACAAGCACCCTGAAGGGAACAGAAAACTACTACGTCTTCGTCGTTGTTCCTGGATAACGCTAAAAGTAGTTTCTCGGAAAAATTCAACGCTATCTATCACGAATGAAAAAAATTGTTTCCATAAAAACTTTACGTAAAATCTAATTCTGCAATGAAAAATGTGGGTTCTCATTTGAGATTTGAACGTTACCATCCACCCTACCCCGAGGGGATGGAGGGGAATAACTGTTATTATGTTTTTTAAAAATATTTTTAAAAATATTGAACAGGTATTTTTTTATTTTTCAATCCAATAATCATTTCTGGAGAATTGCAGAAAATCTAATTTTTTGCGATTACAGCGCCATCTATCACGAATAAAAAAAAAAGTTTCGAACGAAATTTACGTATTTTGTGGCGTAGAATCCGAATCTGCAATAAAAATGGGGATTCCCATTTAAGATTTCAAAGTTGCCTCCCACCCCCACTTCCCGGGAATGGGGTGGGAGGTCGAGTTTGATATCATTGGATGTCCTCCTTCGAGACGAACAAATTTCATTACCCACTTTTTTTGATCCGATATGTAGTTTTCCAGATATTACGATTTGTCAGGTTAAATGGGACACCCTGTATAGGAATGCTATTAACCCTTTGCGGTCGATGCCGCCACAGTGGCGGCATTCGCAAGTCGTCGTAGAAGTCGATGCCGCCAGGCTGGCATTTATGATCGCCTGGCGTGCGGCACGGCAAATGAGGCTAGCGATAATGGAAGAAAACTATTCTCCCGATGCTAGATTCAAATGTTTAGATCAACTTACAGATATCCATGTTTATCGATCTCTTCGAAATCGGCTGTCACAAAGAGTTGAACTAGTATGAGAAAGTTTTTCGTAATCTTATATCGTATATATAAAATATTTATTTCTGTTACAACTCTTTATGTTGTATTGAAGTCGTGTTGTGTTGAAGTTGTGTTGTGTCTTTATCTCTTCTGGCAATCCCCCTCCAAAAACTTCCTTTGTGTCATTCTAAACGATCGTTAAGAATGACGAAATGATTCGAGCATCGGAACAGTCGTCAGTAGAGCAAGCAGCAATGTGCGTTTACTAGTGATACAGAGCAATTCGGTGATCATATTTAAATTACATATATCATAACAATGTTAGAGAATCCTTCAACAAGCAAAATAGTTGATGTAGAATCCCTAGAAGAAAGATCTTTTGAAAATGAAGATTTTAAAGGTGAATTCACTAATGCTCTCGTATATGCAAATTCTATTTACGAGAATAATGAATTATTATCGAAAAATCCTCCAGCGAAAATATAATATATTTTTACTCCTATTTCCATTGCGATTATTATATAAGAATTTTCTCATACACTATATATTTTATAGATAAGATTTACGGTTTTTTGCAATTTAAATTATTAATAGTATATTTAACAAACACTAATATATTTAAAAAACGCAGTTTTATTACTTATTAATGTTTTCTGTTTCATTTTTATGCTTACAGAATAAAAAAAGAACCATACAAGCAGGGATCGAACCTCAGCCGTTAGCTCGGTAGTCCGTTACCTTCGCTGTACCGCGATTCTGTAACTCGTTATTGGAGTTAACGAGTTATAGAATCGCGGTACTGCTACGCTACACCGTTTCGTTGAATACCCTTCTTACTAACTCGTACACTTTGTTGTCTTTTCTTTAGACCGTTTTTTCTCGAAAACGAAGAGGTATTGCGTCATATGCTATTACCATGAGTTATTAGTAGTCAAGTACTATTAACTCCGTAAGTTTCGTTCCAAACCGTTTCCCGGTCGATGCGTCCTCCCCTTGTCAGAAGTTTTTCACTTTTCACTAGTTCACGCCAGGGAAAAGATTCATGATCGCTGCCCAGATTCCTTTCTATTCATAGTTAGGCCTTATATTTAAGACTTCCTTAAGTTTATCTTCAGATAGTTTATAGCCAATAAAATAATCCGTGCAGCATTTAAAGATGGATATAAAGCCAGCGGCACACGGTGCTTGTTTTCGTGCTGGATTGCTTGCTGGATGAAAATATTGCATTCTGATTGGTACATTTCCATCCATCTTCGAAAATATACCAATCAGAACGCAGTATTCTCATCCAGCAAGCAATCCAGCACGAAAATAAGCACCGTGTGCCGCTGGCTTAAGGAAGCCACAAATATAAGGCCTGACTATGAATATAGGTATTATTGCACTAGTTCAGCAGTGCAGCTAAAAAGAACAGACCAAAATTAGATTCAGTGACGCATGCGCACATGATTTTGTAGAAATAAATTTCCAACACCACCTACATGTGTCAAAGAAAATGGCTCTAATAATAAAATTGTGTAGGTCGTCAACTCAGTCGTTGTTGAGGAATAAAGGATATTTATGCAATGTAGCAAGATATGCATCTGATGATACACGTGAGTGCGATCGATATATTTGTTTTAATCATCTTATGGACTTCCTATAGAAATAAAATTATCTCGCTAAGTAATATAAAAGTTTAAGATATTACATAAGTAATAAAGTTGTTTCTTTTATATAAAATACAATTATATCTTGATCTGCCAAATAAATATGTCTTTACATGTAAACTTATATAAAATAGAAAAATAACTGAATGATGTACATGTTCTTCATTAATTATATAGAAAAGATATTTTAATAAGTTTTATCATTTTTTAGCACCATCATGGAATTACCTTTGGGAACCAGGCGAATATTCGAAAAAAGCACATGATAAAATTGCTGAAAAGTATCATCTGCATCCAAAGGATTATAAACCTTTGGCAACAAATTGTGATTATCCAGATTTACCAATGATAGGAGCAGCTGCTAAAGATCCATATTATCCTTATGACTTACCAGCTATTAAGAAGAATTATCATGAAACAGTAAGTTTATAAGGAACTTGTATGTTATTTTATATTCATGAGGTTTCGTAAAATATTTCTGTATCTGTTTACAAGATGCACCATCAATTTGATATTACAACTGAGGACCGCTTCAACTTTGGCCAGACAAATAGAATTGATTCAGGTGTTGCAACGCTAATATGTGTTACTGTTTTTGGTACTTTTGCAGCAATATTCTTTGGAACAAAAGACTATTGCACCTTTCAACCTATGGTAAGCTTTTATAGATATATATGCACATATGAAATACAATATAAAGGTAATTATACAGAATACCCCCCTCACCTCCGATATCGACGAAAAAATATTTAATCGACGCGTTTTTGCAAGAGAAACAACTTTTCCATTTGAAAAAATCGTCACTCTGCTTTGTGGAGCGAGATATAAATTGTTAAATTTGATAACAATTTAGGTTAGGAAATCTGTCACGGAGGCGAAAGATAAGCAAGATTCCGGATGGGTTTGCAACTTTCCAGGCGCAACGAGGACGGGGTAGGTGCGGGAGAGGGGCCGAAGACCCCCTTGCATCCCAGTGTGTGTGTGTGTATATATACACATATGTTTCAGACATTTTCATTTATTAAACATATAAATTTTTAGCTCATGTATTAGTGATTATTTTTTTTCTTAATAACCACTGATACATGAGCTACAAATTCATATGTTTAATAAATAAAAATGTGTGAAATATATGTACACACACACATACATACACACGGGAGTGCAAGGAGGTCCTTTGGCTCCCCTCCCGCACCCACCCCGTCCTCGTTGCGCCTGGAAAGTTGCAAACCCATCCGGAATCTTGCTTATCTTTCGTCTCCGTGACAGATTTCCTAAACTAAATTGTTATCAAATTTAACAATTTACATCTCGCTTCACAAGGCAGAGCGACGATTCCCAGTAAGCAAAATGCTAACAGAATGCGCGCAGATTGACGCCAATTTCGATCAGATCTCCACATCAAAACCATAGCCATCTGTGTCCTCATTAAGCTCGTGTTTTGTCGACAGGACCTATGTGACAGGCCGTGCGAGCAGATTGTCGACAGAAACCGCGCAGGTCCTGCTGCCAAACTACACGTAGAGTTTGCGCGTAGAGTTTGCTCAGTTTCTGCCACCAATCTGCCGTCAAATTATTGTAAGTCTTGCGCGGTTTCTGCTACAAATATGCCGTCAAATATCTGACAACAGGATCTGGCGTATATTTGACCGCAGATTGGCGGCATAATTGATATAACAGATTCTGCATTAGATTTGTTGACTATTTGCCATCAAACTATGACAGCAGGCTTTGTTCGAAATTTGTTCGCGCAGGTTTGGCTATATGGATTTTTTCAAATAGAAAAGTTGTTTCTCTTGCAAAAACGCGTCGATTAAATATTTTTTCGTCGATATTGGAGGTGAGGGAGGTATTCTGTATAATTATCCAATATAAAATATAGTTTAAATTCATAATTTGTTCAATTACATGTTTCAATATTTAATTAATATATGTTTCAGATGGAAAAGCAATATCCATATAGAGGTAAGGCATATTATACATTTGAATCAGCAGAAAAAAAGATATAACAAACTTGTGTCAAAGAGATATATCTCTGTGTATCAAGTTATTGTAACATATAAATACATAGTATTAGTCTACTATATAACATGTCTATTTATTGTAATATTTTTATAGTATAACATTTTTAGACTTTTCCTTAATATAAGTTATAATCTATATTTCTATTTTTGTTTATGTTGATTTTTAATATATACTTTCTAAAGAGTAATAAACTGTGCTCAGGTAAATGTACTACCATAAATAAATTAAAAATAAAAATAAATTGAGACTAATATTCCTTGCTAATTTGACATTGATAATTCTATAATTCTTAATTGGGATATAACATAAAATAACTTAATGCTTTTTGTAATGAATAAAAACTTGAATTTTTTTTACTAAAATTATTTTAAGCAACAATATGTATTCAATGATATCACATGCAAACTATTAAAATGGCATATGATTAGTGTTGCACTGATTTTCCCCATTTGCATTGTATAAATCTTTGGGATGTGTAGTAAATTTTTGGCTTATGTTTATAATATTATGGAGAAATACCATCGACTAACATATTTTTATTTCACTTCTTCATACATTCATTATAAAAGAAGCAACAACATTCCAAAATTGTTATGCATACAAATCCTCAATGTATTAATAATACAAATGAAAGAAAGAAAATATATCAATAATATCTCGCAAGTAATGATTGAATGTTATCTGGATTGACATGGAAAGATTTTTATACAAATTGTATCCTTTGTATTGTGATGTACGTATATATGCACGCGCGCATGTATGTATGATCATACTAAAAGTACAGATAGAAAAATATGATGATAAACTCTAGAATAAATAGTATGATAAAACGCGTTAGCATAATCATATATCGGTTAAAATTTGTCACAACTATCGTTATATTGTGTAGTTAAAGACGTTGAATACAACACTTATTAATATCACATATTTACAAATGATATGCTTAATCAATTGAATGTTTTTGTTCTTTTTAATGAGTTACATACTTCATTACAATGTTTGATAATTCTGTAAATCCTTATGAATGCGACACATCTCGTAAATATTGAATATTACCTCAATACGCCTCTACTTCTGTAAAGGTGGATAAAGGCATGGATTGGGGTGATATACAATATTTACGAGATATGTGTCGCTGTATAATAATAAGATACGTCTCTTTATACTTCGATAGGTGTAATTGGATATCACAAGTATAAAGGTACAATGTTGTTGATCAGAAAATAATTATAGGATAGGATCTGTGTTACAACTGGCTTTCATATTTTATGTCACAGTGTGTATATTAATAAATTCCAAAGTTTATATCTTTATCGTTACGTTGACAATTGTATAAAATAGTTGAATATAAGCGATACGAACCTGTGGAAATTTCCTTATTAAATGCAACGAGATATATTGCTTATATTTCAAATATGAGCGTCTAGAAGGAATTCTCAATTATTATTTATCTCGTAATACTTTCTTTTGTATCTTTATGCCAGATCGAGTTGCTAATTATTGACCGCATGATCGTCAGAATGTCATACACAAATTTAAATCAGTATCTTCCGTACTACAGACTATATGTATTAAAAAAAAAATATTCATTTCGGATTATAAATAATTTCATATTGTTAACTGAATCGCTTTCCAACGTAATTAGTAATCTGTCACTTGAAATGTACGTGATTAGTTTTTTAATACGCTGCATATATATGTATGTAAACGCATATGTATATATTACAATATATTTTCCTGCTTCTTTTTCCTCTTCCCCCCCCCCCCTCTCTCTCTCTCTCTCTCTCTCTCTCTCTCTCTCTCTCTCTCTCTCTCTCTCTTGCCCTTTTCTTTTCCTTGATCATTATTTATCTGACGAATGATCGGTCTGCGTGCCGGTACAATAACATAATATTAATTAAATAAATTTCGAGTGTTGAAATATTATATATTTTGAATACGACATCTTAATACATTTTTCTTACTCTCATTTTCGATTTTTTCTGCTTTTCTTTTTCTCTTTTAATTTATTGCCCTATAAGTAGTGGAGTTTATAGATATGTCACTTTTGTCGCTGTTATAATAAATATTTCGACAAGACGTAGGTTAACAAAGTATCGATACGCGCTTTTACGTATTTATGATACTTTCTAATACTTACCGTGAGAGATCTATGAATGCAAAGTGATATATATATATATATATATATATATATATATATATATATATACATATATATATATATCTTTCGACGAAGGATTGGTAACACATCAATAGCGATTATTACTTGTTTGGTACTTATATCGGTATTTGTACGTGTGTATGTGTTGTATATGTGCGCGCCTGTGTGTCTAGGAATAAAGAGCTCAAACCGCTCGAACCGACGCAAAAGATATCGCACAGTTGGAATTTCTCAAGAATCGTAAAACAATTTCGCGTTTTTTCTCTCTTTCTCTTTCCCTTTCGCGCGCGCGCGACGGCAACATCGCATGTCGGTTCGATTTTTATTATGACTTCCCGTTTTAACAGTACACGCAGAAGAATGTTAATCCATATATTCGGCGAGAGTTATTTGATTCAATTGTATTAAATATCGGTCACGCGTACGTGACGCATCGTCTGACCGAAGGAGGAAGCCCATGCGCAAACGGGGCTAAATAATTTCGATACAAGCCCATCTGGTGTAGAAACTAGTTTGTTTTTTTCTCTCTTCCCTTTTCTGTTGGAGCATCGATTCGCCTAGGGGTGTGCCGAAGTGTATACGTTTAAATATTGACAATATAGTTCGTTCCACCGTTAGACTAGATTAACAACGTATGCATATGTACAATGTGGTAGATGTTGTACGATTGATCCTCGCGAAAGTGTGTATACAAATAAACCTCGCCTTGGAGTCGGATTATATGCGGCAAATTGCACGCGCTGTCGTGCTGTCGCGTGCTCCTCAATTGTTTGCTTGCACAACTTTACAGCTAGCAGCGATTGCTTTAGAGTCCATTGTAAGTACAGACTGTCCCTTCGAAGTTCAGACATTTAGCAAATAATAGAGAGAGAAAAATACAAAGCTGTACTTTTATACCGCCTACTTTGGATTACAGTCGAGTAGTAAGAAGAAAGCAGTTAAGCGTGTAATTGTTTCATCTCCCTAACTCAACTTTCCTATCCTGTAAAGTACTTTAATTCCCTATCTAGTCGGTAAATCGAGTCTAATTTCTTCGTTGCACCTTCAATGGATGATCTCACTCGTATTTTGGTACATATAACACGGTACTTAAACTTATACGCTTATGTATTCGTTCCGTAGTATACGATCAGGAAATTCTGTCAATAGACCAACGAAAGTCCTCTTTTTACGCGCTTATTAGAAATTATAGCACATTCCCCATGCGTGCAATTGTATTATAGGAAGGTTTTTCAACTATCATCAGAATTTCCAAAAATATTATACAAAATATAAACAGTTGTATATATCGATATTGGAAGGTAAAGACACCAGTTAAAAGCCTACATGCGAAAATATTATTACAAATAGCTACTTCAAGAAGTGACGTGACAGAAATGAGAAACGAAAGAAGAAATGACAACGGATAATACAAATCAACTGTGTGCTCGCTTGCTATTTAATTCGCAATTAAATGAAAACAATACAAAAGAGGAAAAACATGCACGCGCTACGTGTGAACATGACGTACGTAATGCGACATCACAATGATTCTTAATTCAACTTAAACATTATTTAGCTCAACGCGGTGTTTACATTTACAATTATCAATACAATACAAGTACAATACAAGCATGTAAATTCATACGAAATAATACATATAATTAAATTATTTACAGCGTTAATAGATCTTTACTTATCTCTATGTCAAGTAAATTATTTGATCGTTAGCTACTAGGACGAAAAACACAGAACACATGCTCACGTTCACTCAAGCATACGGTTGTAAACCGAACAATTATAATATGATACAGGAACAGTACTAATATGCACACTATTGCTGCTGTATACATGTTGCGTATCGTATTTGTGTGTGTTTGTATGTTATGCGCATAGTTAATTATTTTTCCCAGAAAGATTTCGTAAACAATGGCAATTGACATCGTCAATAGAAAAAAAAAATGGCATAAGTGAATGTAACATCATGTATAACTTCATTTATACACTGCATACCGATTAGCCAATCATTATATCACATTGATTTCTTTTTTCTCTTGGAGGGGAGTTTCTCTTCTTTTAACACGTTTTGTTATTTAATTATCAATGCATAATCAATATCAGGGATAAAAAGATCTACACTGATTTTTCTTCTCTATCTAAACCTGTATCTGTTTAAAGTTTATTTTGTAGAATTCAAACTATTGACCCTAACTTTTTTTTATGTAATATGGCAGCTTTGTAACTACTTTTTTAAAATTTGATGTATTATATATCCTGGCAATTAATTTGTTTAGTTTGTTGTCGTAACTCGTGTTTTGTACTAGAACGATGTTGATCGTTAACTAAACGCTTAGGCCTTTTTTTGTTGCTGTAGATATCACTAATTATTATAAATCTTGATATTACATGTGCGCATGCACATACCGATGATGCGGTTTGAGAATCAGCAATTTGCAGACTCTATTATTACAAAAATGAAGCATTCTATCTTGAAATAATAAACCAATGAAGGTTAAATAGGCGGATTCATTCGCTTGATTCATCCATTAAAACGAGGCACGCACAAACTGCTATATTATTTCATTATTATCATTATTATTATTATTATTATTATTATTATTATTATTATTATTATATGGCAACATCTTTCACTGTCATATCTAAGAATAAAGGTATCTTAATACGTTCAATGTCTAAAAGAAATCTCTCAAGAAGACACAGTACATTCTTTCATTAGCGAACAAAATTGATTCAATCGTTTCTTCCACTCCACGGAATGTATCATGAAAGAGATAGTGCATGGTTTCGAGAGGTCGGATTGAGTTATTTCAATGGGGAAGAAATTGTTTTCTACGCTGTGATGAGTTACCGAGTGAAATAAAATGTGTAGATTAAAAAAAGGAAAATCTTGTTTTTTTCGTTATTAAATATATTAAATATACAGGGTGATTCAAAACAACCTTCCATTATTAAAAGTATAAAATCCTGATAAAATTCTAAAACAACTTTTCCTCTTGCAAAATTTTGGCAAAAGATTAGATTTTAAATTATTAACAAAAATAGTAGACCTATTGCGGGTCGGGTACGGGAGGTAGACAGGTGCGACGCAACTCACCGTCAGACGTGGACGCTAACGCGGAGTAGCCGCAGCAATCAGCTGATCACACTACACGTGTTATACACTAGCTACGTTCCAATATTCATTGCCAGCATAAAAATCTGTATTTTGTATCTGTAACGTGGTGCGACGGATGTCTTGCTCGGTTGGGGTACAGCTCGGCGTATCTTCGAACAGCAGCGGCGACCTGGCCGTGACAGGCTCCGAGTATCAATAGCATGTCATAATATTCTTCGTTCGTGTATGCTGCCATATCGTCTTGACGTTAACGCTTCCAATAACCGCAGGATTATTGATTAACGCATCGATTGTTTCAACGCATTTATATGATCGTCGCGGGATGTCCATTGGTCCATCCCCCACCACGCACGACCGCCGCTTCGCATTGGTCGTGCAATGAATACGAGTGAATGAGTGAGAAAGAGACAGAAAGACTCGGAGAGACCGAGAACGTGCTTGCATGTGTGTGCGCGTACAATCCTGGCTGTTTTCTAAAATTTTTGCCAGTTATAACAATCACCTAACGTCACAGAAAATACAGATTTTTATGCTGGCAATGAATATTGGAACGTAGCTAGTGTATAACATGTGTAGTGTGATCAGCTGATTGCTGCGGGTACTCCGCGTTAGCGTCCACGTCTGACGGTGAGTTGCGTCGCACCTGTCTACCTCCCGTACCCGACCCGCAATAGGTCTACTATTTTTGTTAATAATTTAAAATCTAAGCTTTTGTCAAAATTTTGCAAGAGGAAAAATTGTTTTAGAATTCTATCAGGATTTTATATTTTTAATAATGGAAGGTTGTTTTGAATCATCCTGTAGAATATTTAATAATTACTAGGTAGTCGTGTGCGATTTAAAGCTGAAAGCTCAGATACCTATTAACAAGTTGCCAACAAAAGGGTGCTTTTACTGTGATTACTAACATTAATTTGCACCTTCACAATGTATCTCCCGATCGAGCGAAAAGATCATTCACGAAGCGCAAATTAATACCTATGTGATCTCGCCAAGTTTTTTCTTTCCTATCATCATATACAATAGTATATGTAACAGCTGCGCTCAGTCATACCATGTGTCCCGATATGCGCACTCCAGAGCGCTATAACGAGACTACGATGGCTCTACATTAATCAACGTAATTGGTGTTCATCCTTGTGTAATCAACAGTGTCCTGTTGACGCTCGAAAATTCACTACCTACATAAAGCTAGAAATGGACGTTCACATATATCTAAATAAGTTAAAAATGAAAAAACATTTACTACTTTATACAATTCACTAGCGAAGGCAAATAAATAAATTGTTCTTAAATTTCTTTTTTACCTAGAACAGCTGAAGACCGGGGTTTTTTTCGTTAATATTACGATAAACACTGTTACAGTTGTAGTTAAGTATAAGTTACATATGTTCATAGCAAATACGTATATCGGCTTGTAGCAAACGGAAAGACTACTAAAAGTGTGTCGGGGCATAGATATTCAGTTTCGCCTAGTGTACCAAAGTTTTTCCCTCCTGTGGACTCGCGTTTTGGCGTTTCGATCTAATCGATGCTTACAAACATAATTATGTTCAAGTTAAAATGGTGCTTTTACGTTATATTAGATCTGCTAAATATGGAATTCACACATATGTTTGCGCATTACTAAAATTTTCATAAGGTTTAATAATATAATAATATACAACCTCACAGAGGCTGTCGAAACGGGATAGACTCGCTAACCCTTTCACCGCTCTTAGAGCGTTGTAGAAGAATTTCATTTTGTTTCCGCAAAAGAGTATATACCTACACGAATATAAACATCCTAATTCACTGTTTCAGCCTTTCGATTTCGAGACGCAGGCAGTGAAAGGGTTAGGTATATTCTAGTTTTGCGGCTGTGCTTTCTTGCCACCACGTGGCTTGATGCTTTCGGAAATTTGCCACATCGCCTCCTCACAGAGGAAATCGCTAAAGTTGTTGAAGAACGTTATGATACGTTCATGCTTCTTGAAAGAGTACGTGCTGTAAAAGATAATATAAGTACTTGCTGTATAATATAAATATATAACGTTAATTAAACGTTGAAATACATTGACTCTTTGCGGCCCGAATTATTTTTGACTTCTCAACTCAGTCGATTCGTAAGAATCTATTTGCTTCGCGACAATATCACATTTCTCAATAATTCAGCATTCAATTAATACGCAGCAATATATTTGCAATAATATATTTATATTGAATGTACTATTAATGAATAATATATTGATATTTAGAATCGACTACAACGAAACACGATGCTGAGGTAAACTCAAGACAGGGCCGCGAAGGGTTAAGAATTCGACAAATAACCACTCACCCTTTCTTAAATCTTTTCATATTTTCAACAATATTAAATTGTTGCCATCTCTTGGAGAAATTTATAGTGCCGTCCGGTAATAAATCGTTATTCCCAATATGCACAAACGTAAGATCTTGCAATACAAGTCCACTGGAAAAAGAAAAGAACAAGACATTCCTGATAATCGAACAGACACACGAGATTTCGCAATTACGATCGATTGTAAATATTCGTGTTCTTACATATAAGGAATGCAGGGTGGTTGTGTTTCCGCTAGAGCTTGCCTATAGGCGCGGAAGCTACTGGAACTATCTATCAGAGCGCAGTATTCCTTGAGACCCTCCGTAATGTGCTTCTGCCACTCGAGCCTCCTAATAGGTGCACTGTCCAGTGCGGACAATAACGCGAGATAACTATTAAAATTGTTAATCTTTCTAAGGTGTTTCATTATTTTGATGAACTTCACGACATATTTCTCCCTATCCTTCGCCTCATTTTCCAACCGGTGCTCTAATATCCTGGAACGTGCCCAATACGACATCTTGTTGAAGTGCTCGGTAAATCTCGTGAGGTTCGGACTTCTTTCCTCATTCTGTTCCTGCGCCCAAATCAACACTTCCGGGATTTCTATTTTCATAAATAGATCGGCGTCGAGCAGTGTCATCTGCTCCGCAATCTGTTCGCTCTTGAAATCCAACAAGGAAGCTTGCTTTGTTGTTACACTTAGCGACGATAGAATTGGTTGTGCTGCTTGCAGTTGTTTAACAGTATGCTTTTCCAATATCTTCACTCGCAACGCTTTGGCCATTGTAAGATCTCCACTACATACTAACTGCTGTACAAATTCCATTAGAGTTTGTAAAAGAACATCATCGAGGTCGGATATTCTGTAAAATAATTAATTGCATCACGGAGCGTAAAATTTAGGTGTTGCTGCAGTGTAGGAATAATCGGATATAAATAAAAGTTTACTTACGTCAAATCGCTAACGACTCTAACTAATAAAGAAAATGCCTCACGTGCGGCTCTTTGTTTTACAACATCGGGTGAACATGAAAAACGTTGATGACGTCTGTGTAGTTTTTGAATTAGCTCTAAGGGCTGCATAAAAGTTCTGTACGTCGTTAAAAATGCCTCTTGGTACAGGAAGTCTGCAAAGAGAATACAGTTTTTGAAATTTCTTATCTAATGTTATATTTATTAGTTCAAGACAATATAATTATTAGAAAACAATATTAGCAAGATTGAGAAAGCTTTCAAAGTTTTTTAAAAAGTAAATTTCACTATTGTGTTTTTCGTTTTGAAAAATAACTTAATACTGTATTACCAATACTCAAAAAGTAATGATTTGTTATTTTTTTCATTAAATTTTTAAGGCATTTTTGCATAATTTGCTACCGATCATCTCATGTTCAAGTGTTCCAAACATGTATTCAAATATCAATTATATCCGTTATCGTCCCCCAAAATATATTATTGCGTCATTATTATTAACGAAAAAAGAAACAACTCTGTTACCAACTTATTATTAAAAAAAATAACTTATAATGTCTTAAAAGTAACAAGTTATTTTCGCAACAATGGACGATCAATAGTTAATATAACTGTTCATTAAACGTATCACCGACCTGATTCTTTTTCATCTGTATGCAGCACGAAAAAAGGAAAAGAATGTTAAGAAATCATTTTAACTTACCAAGTGCTAAATTGCAATACTTGCATTAATTCTAAGTATTTAAAACATTTGAAAGTATATACCGTGCTTATTACCATGTTTATTAGCTTTTGTGGCATGTATTAATAATGCATCTGGATGTCCACCGCGTATATCCGGGCCCTCTTCATCCGCCTTTTTGAATACCAAGTATTTGCTAATATCTAATTCATCCAAAATACTATCATCCTGATCGATATCTCTTAGTTCAAGAGTATTTTCATCAACTGATATCGAAGAAAGAGCATTACTAGCAGGTCTAGAAGACGGTAATACCGTATCCATGATAACATTGTTATTCTGAAATAAAAATGATCGCGTCACACATATGTGCCCTGCTACTAACATGAATGTCACATGGGTATAACGTAGTAATAAAATTAATATAACGTAGTAATAAAATTATTACATTTATGTTTACCAGTTTCACCGGAGTGGAAGGTGCAACGTCTTTCTTTTCATGAGCGTGAATGGGCTCTTCTGCTACTTTCAGAGGTGTCGACGCGACAAGTGGTTCCGAGTTATGGATACTCTGCATACTGATGGTAGGTTTTGGCGATATCGGTGGCGGTGTAGCGTTTGATTTAGTGGAACGAGATCTCTTTGGTGGTAATGCCGGGGGCAGACTAGAATTATTTGTTGCCTCTACTAAAGTCGGTGCTGTGGTTATAGAGATACTAAAAAAGGAAATGCAATTTTTGACGGTCTCTTAACGTACATTTTTTCTACACGATGTTAAATATTAAAAATATCCAATAAAAATATATTAAAGATATTTATAAGTAATTGAGTGTTCACACAAGACTTATTCTTGGCAATTTTTACGTGAGCTGTGTAGTAAATCATGTTTTCCTAATGTGCCATTCAAACAAGGTATTGTAATTGTTATTAGATGTGCAAATTAATTCGGTGCTTTTAATTTTACATGTTTCTACATATAATTTAAAATTATATAAAATTGATTGAGAAATATAATCTCTAAAACAACATCTCTTAAATATTATTTGACACCCTTTAGAATCATTTAAATATCGTTTAAATGATTCTAAAGGGTGGATATTTTATTACGTTTTTGCAGTTTTGAAGTTCCATTAATAATGAATATGCAAAATGTTTTATATGATGAGCGAATATGCAAAATTAATATACAGAAAGTTAATAAATAATAATCATCAACAATATGAATATCCGATATATATTTTTTTGCTTTTTAATAGAAAAAGATACTGCTGAAATTGTTGAAATGCAATTACTAACAATTGAGCAATGAATCAGAGTAAGAAACCTATTACTAAACAAGGGAAATGTAAAGTCATTTGAATGCATGATCGTTAGGATATATAATAAAAGGAACCAAGATCAGTTTTAATCTAGGCTGTAAAGATCTCCTTCACGTGACTTATTTATTCGTCAGACTTGCCCCTTTCAGATTACCATCTGTTTCGACCGTTACGTCACTCGTCAGATATTTTCCCATTCTCTCTTGAAGAAATTTTGAATATTAGAAATTGTATAAATAACTTCATCGATTCTCGATCGAGATAGAACCGCCTAGTTTCTATCTCGAGTAGTCTTGAGAAAGAATTTAGCAATTGAAAGATAATGTAAGATATTGAAAATAATAGAAATACTAGCAAGATATCAAAGACTTTCAGCCCTGGGCAAATTTTTGTAAAGACAAAAGGGTCCCCCGAGCCAATTGAAGAAGAGTGATATTATTAGTTATTCGATATAAATATGTGGATATTCAGTGTATATAATGAAATATCAATTTACATAATGTTTTAACAAAAAAAATTACTGAGGAATGAAACATTAATAGATTGACTGTACTTTGGCGTTTAGAGAAGATTAAACACAATCTAAAACCCGATGGCTGGGTGCCACATGTGTTTACTGAAGACAACAAAATTGATCGAGTTTCTGCAGCTAATTCCTTGTTTAGCTAATTAAACGAGGATACGTTTTTGGATCGACTAAAAACTAGCAATGAAAAATTAATCCTATACAATAATACCTAATATATAAATGAACTAGAAAGAAAGAATTGAGGTCAGTTAACTTGTTATTGTAACGATATGAACAAATGACAATCTGATAGTACAATATTAGGAGAGCGCGGAAGATGCAATAAAAGATTTCAGTTCAGGTCTTTAAGCTTTTTCTGGATCTACGCTGAAACAGGAAGTCTCACGTAGTGAAAGACGAAATCTTTGATAAAAATCGAATATTTTTCTTGGTTTGCTGTTTCTAAATGAACTAACTAGTAGCCGACAGTATTTATCGGAATTATTGTACCAACGGCAAAGAATTTTAAAAGATATTATTCTTTCGCATTTCCATTAAATTTCTGGAAATGCAAACCAGTTTTTGCTTTCAAATGAACAGAAATTCTCATTTGACAAAGCATGACGTGCTACGTTTCGAACTTCTTTGATGAGAAACTATGCATATTCTGTGATCGTGATATCCGTATATTGTCGGAACGTTGAAAAAACATTAGAGAAAATGATGGAAAATATTTATTCGATTGGATAAAGACTTTCGTATGCTAAATTGTCAAATTATTTTTATTGAGGAATTAGGCACAAACTTTTACACTCATATTCAACATATCAAATATTTTTATGAACTGCTTTACTGCAATTATCATCTACGTTAATTTGGCACAAGTTTACCGATAAATTTATCAATAGGAAGTTATTAAACAGCAAAATTTTTTATTACTACTACTAAATTCCTTCTATTATCTACTAAATCCCATAAGATCAATCATTTCTAGTTATTACTTCGTCGATGATGAAGTTTATTTTGATAATAAACAATATAACACTTTTTTGTGAACAAATTTTAATTTTTCTAAAAAATATCGAGTCAATGTGTACACTAGCCGGCAGTGATTTCTTGATAATTAATACTTCTTGCAAAATTGGTATATATTCTTCAGCATTCATTCTAGAAAGTGAAAAATAATCATGGGTAGCTGGCAAAATCAGAGTTAAAGATGCACTTAAAAGTCACGTGCATCAAGTCTGAGCCAATTTATCGTTAGATCCAAATTATTGTCAAAACTTGATAAATTTAATGCAAAGATAGCTCCAGTCAGTTCGTCTTTAACTGTCAAAGTGACAAGTCAACTGCTTTCAGCATCGTTGCTATTTTTACGAATAATCAACAATCATGATGCACGAATATTCAAGCACGATACGTGTGGGTAAGAATTTTTAATAACTCTAAATTTAGTAACTGTCAAAAGATCTCTGCCGATCAGTGTACAGCTAACATATAATTGCGATTGTATCCTGCTGAATCGATATTGATCGAATTGACAAAAAGATCGTAATTCCACCTTCACAAGCCGTTAAAAACAACAGCTAAGAATCAGTCACACACGGGCTGTTAACGTGAAGGAACGTGTGACAGCTAATAGCGCAAGATTACGAGATTACGGCTGATAGCGTGAGAGTCTGTACCTAGAAATTCATTAAACGTTCTTACGTCTTAAACGCGTTCCTTATTTATCGCCCAGATGCAAGCGCGAGTAAGCAAACGCAGTAATATCATTGATCAAAAAATAGAAGCTTCATCCATAAGCTCTTAAACGTGTTTCATTTTGACACACCTGATAATTGATATCTTTAACAAGGACTTTATGATGAACATTTCTGCGAGTACCTTGAGCTGTCGTGTAGAGCAGTTATAGTGTGTGTCATGAAGGAACACGATTGGGTCGTGGTAAGGGCCATCTCGTGTTGCTGCCATTCCGTCTGCATCGAATTATAAGCTGCTACAGAATGACGGGTACCGAGACCGGAGATGAAATCGTTATTACTATGGGAGCAGTTCCCAAACATCTCCATGTACGCCATGACTGCAAAATACGATAAAAATTATCAACATGAACTCGCTTCACTGGAACATCGAGAAAATAATATGAAAAGAAAAAAATTCTGTTATTAAAAATTGCTCCGAATAAAAACTGAACTCTTAATGGCATACAGGGTGTCTCAAAAATACCGGACCCCCCGGATAACTTTGCAGGATCAAATTTTCATGAAAAACTTTAAATACAAAAGTTGTAGGAAATCGAGTAATGGACTTGATGGTGACCTTGAATTTGACTTTAGCCATGACCTTCAAGGTCATTTGGAGGTCAACTTGAAAAATTTAAATGGGAACCCCTATTTTTTATTACACTGTTTTTTTTTACTAGTTAATTTGAACAACTTTTGTCTAAAACATTTTTTTATTTGTCTAATATTTTTTGAGGTATTTAAAGAAAACTTGATAACTTTTTCAATATTTGACTCATGATATCTCGCTAACTATTTGTCGGGAAAAAAAGTGGTATTAGACTTTTTTATTTTATTTAGTCTCAAGAATATATTGTTACAATAGTACCGTGATTTTTGTTAATTTGATGATTTTGAAATTTCCAAAAGTCAGTATGTTAACAAAAGTCAGGGCGCTATTGTAACAATATATTCTTGAGATTAAATAAAGCAAGAAAGTCTAGTACCATTTTTTCTTCCGACAAGCTAGTTAGCGAGATATCGTAAGTTTAATATTGAAAAAGTTATCAAGTTTTCCTCAAATATTTCAAAAAACATTAGGCAAATAAAAGAATGTTTTAGACAAAAGTTGTTCAAATTAACTAGTAAAAAAAAACAGTGTAATAAAAAATAGGGGTTCCCATTTAAATTTTTCAAGTTGACCTCCAAATGACTTTGAAGGTCATGGCCAAGGTCAAATTCAAGGTCACCATCAAGTCCGTTACTCGATTTCCTACAACTTTTGTATTTAAAGTTTTTCATGAAAATTTGATCCTGCAAAGTTATCCGGGAGGTCCGGTATTTGAGACATCCTGCATAATATGCGTCGATGAACGACGCAAGCACGATGTATTGTATATGCCATGATAAGATACTGAAAAGCGTACAACGTGTGGATCGTGTGGTAACACTGATGCACAAGCAACAACACATCGTCGTGTAATTGTTATTCCAACAAGCCACATGTACAAATGGAAGAAGAGCTCAACTCACTGGAATAAGTATGAAACCGTTTAAACAACATCTTTCGTGCGTTACTGTGAATATTACACTTCAATCGAGCTGTTGCGCAATGAGAACAAGTACTGTAGTAATTGTAATAATTGTAGTAATACTTCATCAAAGAAGTGTCACGCAAGGTGAGGATGGTTCCACGTCAACGACTCTTTCGCTTTTTTTATTCCGTTTGTCTTAGCGCAAAGATGGAAACTGACTTTTAGCTCGGTTCAACAACTGGTGGAACTGTCTCGACTGACTATTAGCAAGAAAGGTCAAATTAATTAGAAAAAGATTATGACACCCACGTGAGCTCGCGAGAGAGCTCTGTTTCTTTCATTAGTGCCAAGAAATAGTATCACTGTGAAGTCCACAGTTTTCTGAATCATAATGATGTGATTTATCGACTTTTTTCGTAAAGAGAAACAAATCAAATTGGGAATGGACTATAACGTGAGATGAGTGAAATATCAACTGTCGCTCCTTCGATTAGTATAATATTCAGCTAATATTTCGTAGCTAAAATTTCTTCCGCGATCTTGTACCCATGATGCGAATTAAAGGTGAGCCATAAATAAGCTGCGATTATTAATAAAAATTCAAGCTTCAAGATCAAAATCATATTTCAAAGATATTCTCATATAAAAGGAAAATAAAATAACAATAAACATGCCGCAAGAAGCCTGGAATTAAATATCTCAGATAAATGTGTGAAACGTAGGACATTTAACTTAGCGTAAAAGTTTGCTGAGGGATAGTTGAATTGTGTGTGGGCAGGATCCCACTTACCAGAATATGCCACTGATTGGAACACTGGGGGATACAAAACATTACATCAGTTTTAACCCACTGCCATAAAATAATTTGGAGTGTGCGAGTAACTTTAGATTTAGAGTTAAATCTTAATATCTATGTGTATGTTGACGAAGTAAACAAAATAAATTTATGTGTCTTCTGTCTAAATGCAATCAAGCACGAAAAATGTTACAGTCGTCTCGCGAAATGGTCATATTAACCTCCGAGGAATACTTGTTAGTATGGTGTCTTTCGAAATTCGTATAAATCTGTCAGTTGACAATGGAGAAGAATGAACCACCGACACCAAAACTATTAGATATTCTGCTGGCTTCCTTCGTCATCGCAGACACCGACAACTTTCGTGAAGGATGATTACTTACTGTGCCGTTTCTTTAAAGGCAGAGGAGGTGGCTTATTAGCGTCCGGGCTATCTCCGTTAGTAGAGTGCAAAGCGCACGTGGATAAATGCTCGTTTTCTGGTACGTTATCATACTGCGAGGGCTGTCGCTCTTTTCTTCGTTTGGATCGCTTTTCTGGCAACGCCGGTGGTACTCCGTTAGAGTCGGACGTAGCTGTCGATTCCATTTCCTGCGCGCATATATAAACGCCAGACGATTAGATAATGTTTCAGATGTAGTTGGACAAAAACAAAGACTAACGAGACGAAACAAAAAAGAAAATGCGACAACACCCACATTTACCAGTTTTTCTAATAATGCTGAATCCCCGTTTCCAGACACATTAGACGTGCTAATAGTACTTTTGGAACTAGTCATCGTCCTCTGTGTAAAAATAGAGCCGTTACTATCCGAGGATAATTTGGTCTGAGAAAATGACTGTTGCTGCGTGCTGAATGACTGAGAATTATAACTAATGCTGCTCTGTTGCGACGATCTCTTGGACGTCATGCTGGACGCAGTGGTGTAACTTTGAGATGAACTTCGTTGAGAATGCATAGAGACAAAGCCAGATTCCTGCGTTTGAGTGGATAACCGCTCCATCTTTCCCTCTATACCTGGAACAAGATAAATGAAGAACGAGATTAATCGATGCGATTTGCAGCAAAAGAAGAAAGATTCGGTAAGGCTAAATGCGGTAACAAAATTGCAGCGACATTTCCTTACGGAAGAGCATTCTGACATTTTCCCAACTGAAGTTAACTCTATATGCCATTTCGCACGAGGCACGAGGACTATGATTGAAGCACTGTAATGCGAGATGAAAGAGAGAAGAGTAACTGCTTCATCTCGCCATGCGAGATGTTTCCTATGTGCCTTGAGAGAAGATCTATAAGATACTGTTTATTCATGCGGTCGGAAGGTCGATTCCACCTACGCAACTTGCTCCACTATTTGAGGAATTCTTGCGTAATTTTAGTTCTCGCACTTTTCCTTTCTTTAAAATGTCTATTAGAGAGGGAATTACTTTGAAATACTTTATTAAATAAAAAAATGAAAAAAGATATACACATACAATACATACATATATATGTATATATATATGTACACACACATACGTATATATATAGAGTCCTCAAAAAGTCCGGAAACGCTAAAATATTTCGAAAAATATGAAAGATACGAAAAAATGTTTGATATAAAAGTTGTAGGGCGTAAAAAGATCTATTTAGTAGTCATATCAGTTTGACCATAGGTGGCGTTACTAAGGTCATATGAAGATCAACTTTGTTTTTTAAATGGAACCCCCTATTTTTTATTAGAAATTCTTGTAACTTATCTCGAGAGCTTTCTAAAACACTATAATGAAGTCATTTCTTATTAAGTTCTTTCCGAGTTATGACGTTTGAAAGTTACAGTACTGCCGGCATTAGCATTACCCAAAGTGTACCGCGTGGAGGTTGCACGCAGATTTACACCTCGGATTTACACCTCGCACGCGCGCGCGCGCGTGTGTGTGTATGTGTGTGTCACTACAGAGGTCAGGGTCCTACGGTTCGTCACTTCCGCAGTATTTTAAGTCTCCAAACCTTCTCCGTAGTGTGTGTGTGTGTGTGTGTGTGTGTGTGTGTGTGTGTGTGTAGGTAACATTTTTCAAGCTATTGTTTTTTACTGTTTCAATTAATCAGATGTTCAAAATGTCTTCCTTCTACTGTTTGGCAATGAGCTAAATGTTCATAGAAACTATTGATCACGTGGCTTATTTGTTCTAAAGTGATCAGAGATGCTTCCTGCATTATTCGATTCTTCAAGTCTTCCAAATTACATTTTCGTCACATAAACCTTACTTTTGATGTGTCTCCAAAAAAAGAAATCAAGAGGAGATAGATCAGGTGATCTAGCAGGCAACTCAATAGCATCTCTCCTACCTATCCATCGATTAGGAAAAGAACGGTTTAAAAAGTCTCGAACTCGTACCGCAAAATGAAGTCCTGCTCCATCTTGCTGGAACCAAATATTTTGCATGTTTGCGTAAAATAAATTTTCAATTTCAGGAATGATATGATCTCGCAATAAATTTTCATATTTTTCAGCATTTAAATCATCATCTATGAAAAATGGGCCTATAATACCGCAACTACAGATCTCTGTCCAAATATTCAATTTTTGTGGATATTGTATGCGAAGGTCACTCATCCAATGTGGATTTTCATCACTTCAATATCTACAATTGTGGCAATTAACAGCACCATTTATTTGAAATGTGGCTTCATCAGAAAAAATAACAAAATTCAAAAAGTTAGCATTATCATCACACCGATGCATCAGTTCTTCACAAAACTGAATTCTTCTATCAAAATCGTCTTCCATAAGTTCTTGAGCGATAACAATTTTATACGAATAATATTTATGCTTTTTTAAAATGTTAGAAACGCTACCTTCACTGATGATATCATGGGCTCATGCTGTTTTTGATACGGACAAATGAGGATTTTCCTGAAATGATTGGAGAACATCCAAAGTCTTATCATCATTAATTGTGGATTTTGGTCTTCAGCTGCGAGATCGGTCCTCAACTGTTCTCGTTTCAAAGAAACGAGTCACTGTTCTATAAACGGTGGATTTAGAAATAGGATCGAGATCAGGATGTGTAACATTGAATAGATCAGCTACTTGTTGATATGATCTAATACGGTCACCAAATCTTCGATAAATAAGTAGCAATATTCTTTCGTTTTCGGTCAACATTCTTCAGAGAAAAATGTGATATTATAATCGGATAAAGAAACGAAAGAGACAAAGAGCAAGATACGAGCGAGCGCAACTTGTTTTTAGAATATGTGGACCGAGAAGCATCTGTGATCGCACCTCTGCGCGGTACACTTTGGGTAATGCTAATGCCGGTGCATAGTGCGGCGACTAATGTAAATCACGGGATATAGCGAGTAAAAATGAAAATTTGATTTTTAACACATTACTATTAAAGATATTTAGTAAAATACTTATAGTTTCTTTTCCTATGTTACAATTTCTATAATAACTAACAGAATATATATACAACGCAAAATCAACAGTTCAAACTGTTACATTTTAATATGATGCTAGCAAGATGCATCATCCGAGTTAATTTCAAGTTGCATATAATCATGTTTAGTTTCAAAAATGTATTATTTCATCAGCTTTGTGTTACTGTATCAAATTATTTTCTTGTATGTTTCTCCAAAAAAGTATATATTTTTCAACTTTATATATTATTAATTTTCAGTGGAAATTTAAAATATATTGAAATATATTGTGTCCGAGCCACAAGGTTTGTGGCGGCGTCCGTTGTCCGTGAGCCTTAGGCATCTGATTTTAACAACTGAACGAAGATTGTCTGGACGACGGAAAATCGATAAGAAGAAAACAACAACAGCTGACTGAGTCTCTAGCAAGCTGTCATCGTAGACAGACGCGAGAATTGTAGATCAGAGAATTATTCTTGTTTAAAGCTTGAGTGAGCTGGGCTATATATAGTAAAGCTTGTTATTCTTGCGCGAGTGTTTTCCTGAGTGCAATTTACTTGAGTGCAAGCGCGAGTGCGAGAGTGAGCGCAACATATATTATAAATTGTTGATTATAACAAAACTCCTGTAACATCCCGTTTCATACTAAAAATTTTATGAAACAATATACCTAAGACTACATATATCTGTTTACATCAGGTGCGCCTAGGTGCGCCTTTACAAAATATTTATTGTTAAAGATGCACAAACATATATCATGAAAGAAGGAGAAATTTCAAGCCTTCGACAAAACAAATATTATATAAAAATGAAAATCAAAAATAAAATATATCTATTAAAAAAAAAACAAGTTTTTCTTGTTTTATTTTTGTAATTTTGTTTATAACTTATTGTGTTGATTTTTTTCTGACTAAATCAGAAAATTATCATATCGTTAGGACTTTAGAACTACACTATATATAAAATAAGTCATGGATGAAAATTACTTATGAAGAAACTTTCTTATTCACTGTATAAAATATGTAATATGTAATAACTATGAAGCCCGTATGTTAAAGATCTAGGATACCCTATATATAAAGTAAAAAGTTTTATGTTAATCTATTAGAGTCTATGGCTAACTCTGCTGGGATATCATTTAAATAACATATGGAATCCTCTAGTATGATAAAAATAACAAATTCGGCGGAAAAAAGTTGCAAAAAGAATTTGTTTATAACAAAATTGTTTAAACAATTTATTAAAAAAATTATTGTTTTGAAAATCTGATGCTTTCAAGCGATTTCGCTTTGAAAATTAGGTTAAAAATAATCATTTTTTTAAATAAGTTTAACACGTTCGCGACATCGTGACCCACTGGTGGATCACACTGGTTTATATTAATAGACGTGCGTGTCCACCGGTGGGTCACACACTATGAAGCATTGCACTGCTTCTGAAAGTCTCTGTGTGTATCGGGGGCTCTATATATCATAACTACGGCTACATGAGAAATGTATCTATGTACTAGCAGCATGGTTTGTCGTAATTTTGTTTGTTATGAAACAAACGCAAACAAGCAATATATTAAAAAATAAATTGTGCGTCCTTTAGAGTGAACCAATGGATTTATTGATTGTCGCGAACGTGTTAAACAATTTTGTTATAAACAAATTATTTTTGCAATTTTTTTCCGCCGAATTTGTTATTTTTATCATATTAGAGGACTCCATATGTCATTTAAGTAATATTCCAACTAAGTTAGCCATAGCCTTTAACGGGTTAGAAGAGAGATGATTAATATCGAAAGAATATTTTCAAGTTAGAGTTAACTCCAAAAAGAAGAATTGTATGATTTTCATGCATGCTTTTATTTTCGCTAAAATATTTATACTGAGTTCCACTTAACGCTTGCAACAATCGCGGCGTCATTCTTGTTTAATATCTAGTAAGAAACAACGATAGAACCCTCGATAGACGCCTCGATCGTTGCAAGCGCTAAGTGGAACGCACTGTTAATATGAGACACTTCCAACGGGATAGAGCGTTTGTTTTTTGTTTCGCGCCTGATATGCTTTTTCAATCATCGGCCACTGCTGCGACGCGCATTAAGAGGCACGATAGTCAATGGCACAATATATTACACATCTTCGCGCTCAGGCATTCACGTGACAAACGAAAAGAATACAGTCTTTTCATCGATACCTCAACAAAGCAAAAAAAAATATAAAAACAAAAAAAACAAAATAAAAAAGCATAAAAAATATAAAATATATAAAAATAAATAAAAATAAACTTAATAACATATTATAAATATATAATAACAATGTATTTGAACAGTATATATATTATATAAAGAAAAACGGCTCAATGTCCGAGAATCGCTATGCTTCACCACACTGTGCGGCGGTAACTTTCAGAGGAGGCGATAACTGTAACTTTCAATCGTCATAACTCGGAAAGAGTTTAATAAAAAATGACTTCATTATAGTGTTTTGGAAAGCTCACCGAGATAAGCTACAAGAATTTTACATAAAAAATAGGGGGTTCCATTTAAAAAACAAAGTTGACCTTCATATGACCTTAGCAACGCTACCTATGGTCAAACTGATATGACTGCTAAATAGATCTTT